CCCCTAGATCCGCCACTGCTTTAAATGTACTGTCATGAATTTGTTTTCGCGTATCTGTTGACCGACTTAATTAACTGATTATTAGCGAATTGCTGTGTTATGTCTGTCATCGTGTAGGCCTATTTGAAGTTTTGGACGGAACTTGGCTCAGTGATTTGGAACTAATTACAAGATACCGTCGCTATTCTGACATCCGTAGTTATTAATGTAGTGAACGTTTAATCAAAAGATATGACGTATTCAGTACTTAGTGTGATTGGCTTTATGATTGAAGGTTACGCCCTAGAGTCTTTTACTGCTTTGTAATTGGTTGGAGTTGTGAAAATGAATAAAGAGAGTTTGAGTTGGTCTTGACGAGCACAGCACGATAGACGCAGTAGAGAGAGAGTGCAGTCCTGGAGGGTCGGAGAGAGTCCAGGGGCGAGCCTTGAGGCGGTCCAGTCTTGGGCTAGTCTTGGGTCAGCCTTGGGAGAGTCTTGGGGATTTTTCCCCAGGGCGCCGTGTCTTATAGAGTGCTCCAAAAGATCGACTAAGACGAGAGCTGAAATGTATTTCGTTGTGTGTGTCTTATTTGACTGTAAAGTATAAGTGACATTCCCGATCCCGTACCTCAAGGGGACGAGATAGAGAGACGAGACGAGTTTCCCCCCTGACAAGTGTGGAGACCCCGTGGAAGAAGATTTACCCCTGATAGTACAGTGACACTCAAAGTAATAGGGACGCTGCCTCGAATGTTCAACTATTTACAAATGGTACACATTTAAACAGTTGTATTACCATTCGCATTCAGGTTTCGCAGCCATGATGCGTGTGGGTAAAAATAAATAGTAACAGTCATGTTTTTTTTATCGTAATTTGTAGGCGATTCGTGCTACCCCAACCCCTGCCATAATGGCGGTACATGCACGATAACTAGTACATCACCCGGCTACGTATGCCTCTGTGCCACTGGGTATTATGGTCAACTTTGTAATATCGGCACAGGTAAGTGAATACATTGTCGGGTAAGATATATTTTCTTATCGTCAGAACGTCCCCTCTCGTCAACCATCAACAATAACACTTTCAAATAAAGTGGTCTAAATATTAAACTTCAATAATTTGTTCTTTTATGTTTTTATTATAAACAATGGTCTTTATTTACACTTGACCAACGCCATGAAAAGATAAATACCGATAAATCACGTTGGTTATCGATTATTGCTGTTTTTATACTACAATTAGGGATTCGATGATTATTCTGGTGTTTCATTTGTGACCATCACTCATTCTGCTTCATTAGAAGCACGTATATATATATGCAATTTTGATTAAATCGTTGTTATAACAATGTGTAATATTTCTTGTTGATCGTAGGACCAACGCAGTGTGCATACAACCCGTGTATAAACGGTGGGACTTGCTCAATGGTCAATAACGTCATGACATGTACATGTCTATCTGGATATTATGGAGATGTTTGTGAAATAGGTGATGCACGCTTTTAATCAAATAGTCACATATTCATGACATCCAAACATTTCCACGACCTCAGTGCACCCGTTCTTACCCCTTTGTATCTCAGACACACCTTCCTCCCCAATCAAGTTCAAACTTCACGCTTACATCAAGCATTTCATCGGACATATATATGTGCGTTTGTGCCCGACTGGAAGTCATTTTAAGACTAAAAATGTACCGAAATCACACATTTGCATCAGACATCATGTCAGGCATATTTATATGAAGATTTATGTCATGTTTTTGACCCCGGGGGTCACCCTATATTAAAACCTTATACCATGTGCGTCCTTGCTAAAAAAAACAATAATAGGCCCCTAGGGCTGGCAGCACATTGGCAAACCATACCCCCTATTGCGGACGCACTATAAATTTAGTACCCCATAGAGCAGACATATTGAAGAGAAAAACACCCCCTATTTCAGACATTGAGAACATCCTACCCCCTATTGTGAGCATTCTCTGCCGTTTTTTTGCACAAAGGTGGAGTGTGATCAACTCAAACAAGTTACTCTGTATGCAACTCCTGTTGGTGTCATTCGTTGTTTTATGAAGAAAGATGAGACTATTGACATGTCTAACAGTCTATAGAGTAACCCCAGGTTTTTAACACCTCTTTCTAAATGGCTGCAACTAACTCCAGTTTGTATTCTGAAATCAATCTGTTTTAAATAAGACCCTGGTTCGCTTAATTTTTAAAATATTATTTTGATATTATTACTAAATAATAAAGAAACGAATATATTGTACACACAGTTAAAGGGAGGAATCACACAACTGACTGTGTCATTACGTATACACTTATAGTGCTTACACCATATTTATTTTCTTAATACTTGACAGTTCAAGACCCGTGTGACAGTATGCCGTGTCTCAATGGCGGCACATGCTTCCAGGCTGGTAACGGCTTGTCGGCTTATGTATGTTTATGTGCGTCTGGGTATACGGGCACTAACTGTGAAGGGAGCAATGGTAGAGGTAAGAGAGAACCACAAATCACGTCGGTATTGTTACGGTGCCGCACAACATTTACTTTTGAGATTTGTGTATATATTATTGTATTCCCGCTAAGTAGATATCAGTCATGAGTTCAACCCAAATTAACATATGTTTTACTAGCGTTATTGTGCATTTCGTATTTTTAGAATGTTACTATGGAAGTACACGATACAACGAATTTGCAACAAGACAAGAAGACTGTAATGTCTGGTAAGAATCAACACATGCACTTGTTATAATGTATACTATCAAATCAGTTCCGGGTCACGGTTGATGGAGTATTTGGGCCATGACGTAATATCAAGTATTGACTTGTCTATGGTATTTGTATCCTTTCAGCGAATGTCTTAATGGCGGTTGGTCATGTACAACAAATCCTTGCAGTGAGTAGATCTGAATATTCAATTTCGCGTACACTACGTAGAATACATATTAGAAAACACAAGTTTATTTTTGTTATGTGCACACTATGTTTCTACTAACTAACATGAATGTTGGCACTATCTGTTACACCGGTGCCATCACCTTAAATTCACATTGTATTCACTTGACCCAGGTACTAATCCATGTGATTCCGAACCATGCCAGCACGACGGTACGTGCCTACACGCTAATACACAATATATGTGCCAGTGCACTGATGGTTATACTGGATTTAATTGCGAAACTCTACTTGGTAAGCACGATAGCGTTCCTATATATTCTATTGTATTCCTTCACAAGTTGAATAATCACATTCAACGAATAATGTGTATTTATACCTTGCACTAAAGCAATTCCACACGACTATTAGAAATAACATACCAAACCGTGGATCTAAAAACTCGCAACACACAATGAACGACTGGCAATAATCGGCAAAATAATCAATAAGAGCAAAATAAAACAACTGACAAGTAGATATTGAGTGTTCTAAAAAGAAAAAGCACATCCTGCCACATCTGTGCCACCCGCCACATATTATTCTAATTCATTATCAAATAGTTTGAGTACAAAACAATATTCTATGTAATATAAATATTGTTGAATATTTTTCATGTTGCGTGAATAATTAATATAGTTATATATGAATATATAAATACATATGTCTAAACACATCTAAATATTTTTATATTTACCACGACATATTCAGCACCGCATAATGATTCAGTAATACTTTCTGCTATTGATTAATTTTCCACGTGATTTCACGTCATTTATTCAGGTGGAAGCTGTGATTATACTGGCGCGTGTCACAACGGTGCCACGTGCACACTGACACAGGGAGGCATGTTTCACTGTAATTGTGCATATGGATTCAGTGGACAATACTGCGAAATTGATATATCACGTAAGAATATTTTGTTAATTTGTACGAGAATAAAAGCGACGAATTATTACAAGTTAAAGATGTTGAAGACAGTGGTTTTGTTTATGTATAAACTAACTTTGGTTATATATGTTAAATTATATCATTATATCTTACCTAATGGTTTCAGAAACCCATCAAGGAATGTGTCCATCGGTTGCTGAGCCTTTGGATGGAACAGTCGGCCACGACTGTGCCACTATGTGTATCGGTGATTACCAATGCGAGCCAAATGAGAAATGTTGTATTTCATTCAATTGTGGTATGCAATGCACACAAGTTGGTAAGTTAAATGTCATCAAAAACTTAACTTAATCGTTTCTATATTACACAACTCAATGTTTCGAATATAACCCGAATTAGCAAGCAGAAGGTTAATTAGTTCTCAAGTTATTCAATGATAGAAGCAATCTGTTGTCTGCATCCTATTTCAGATGATGCGTGTTCAATTGGACTCACTTGTATGAATGGCGGGACGTGTCAACCAATTGGTTATACATTCACCTGTACATGCCCAGATGGATACACAGGAGTATATTGTGAAATTGCAACAGGTATACAGTTTAAGTAATTACGCTAGATCTTTTACACACCAATATTGTTAATGCTACATATACTTTTATGTTTTGTTTTGTTATGATTTATACGTGTCACAGTTATTGTAACAATGGCATATGCAACTATTACAATTACTGTTGTTGATTATAACACTGTGTTTTATGATTGTAGACTGGAACAATAAGTATCACAAAGTAACAACAGAAAGATTATTGTTTTCAACAACCATTGTTAATGCAATTTATCCTGAATTTGACTTATTATTTATTAGTGTAATAATCTAAGATAGTCTTGTTAATCTTAATTATAACAATAGTTTGATTGTAACAATATTATAAGACTTGATTATGAAAATGACATGGTATTCTTAAATGTAACAATGGTATATGAAATTTTGATTGTAACAATGGTATATGAGATTCTTGATTGTAACAATGGTATATGGGATTCTTGATTGTAACAATGGTATATGGGATTCTTGATTGCAACAATCGTATATGAGATTCTTGATGGTAACAATGGTATATGGGATTTTTGATTGTAACAATCGTATATGGTATTCTTGATTGTAACAATGGTATATGAGATTCTTGATTGTAACAATGGTATATGGGATTCTTGATTGTAACAATCGTATATGGGATTCTTGATTGTAACAATCGTATATGGGATTCTTGATTGCAACAATCGTATATGAGATTCGTGATTGTAACAATCGTATATGGGATTCTTGATTGTAACAATCGTATATGGGATTCTTGATTGTAACAATGGTATATGGGATTCTTGATTGTAACAATCATATATGGGATTCTTGATTGTAACATTCGTATATGGGATTCTTGATTGTAACAATCGTATATGGGATTCTTGATTGTAACAATGGTATATGGTATTCTTGATTGTAACAATTGTATATGGGATTCTTAATTGTAACAATGGTATATGAGATTCTTGATAGTAACAATGGTATATGAGATTCTTGATTGTAACAATCGTATATGGGATTCTTGACTGTAACAATCGTATATGGGATTCTTGATTGTAACAATCGTATATGGGATTCTTAATTGTAACAATGGTATATGGGATTCTTGATTGTAACAATCGTATATGGGATTCTTGATTGTAACAATGGTATATGGGATTCTTTATTGTAACAATGGTATATGGGATTCTTGATTTTACCAATGGTGATCGACTGTCTGATTTCCATATATATCATTATTATTGTAATGTTATTGTTTATGTAGATAATCTGTGTTATACCGACAACCCTTGCCAAAATGGTGGCATGTGCACTACTCTTGTAGGATCAGTAAACGTCTGTGTTTGTCCACCAACATGGATGGGAAAATACTGCGAGCATGTCAAAAGTAAGTGTTGGGTCGAGGAGATGTGAACTTGCATATGGCACGTATTTAGTCAATATTTATTATTAATGTTAATCATAATATGTCTATGTATGACTTTGTTTTGTTTTGTGTCCAGAATTTATCTGATGATAAAAATATAGTGTTAGAATGCACATTAAGTCGCAGTTCAAAAAAGTACCTCATATATTAATTTTAATCCAGCGTCACCACCCAACAATTTGAGATATGCCATCGTATATCTTTTATAGTAGAATATACAATGAATTTCTTTATTATATTTGTAACATTGTTTCTACTATTTATTTAGCTGGTTGTGCAGATGGCAGCGAGCCAGTCGCGTGTCCACTGGATCCATGCTTCCTAGCGTCCTGTCCATCTAACTTAGCCGCGCAATGTCGACCTAATTACTGTGGGGGATGTAAAACCCAATTTTTCTTCGACGGGGACATCAGAATACAATGTGAAGGTATGTAAATGTTTCCTTTTCGGATAAATTTCAATTATCTGTGTTTTCAGTGTTCAAGATGTGACTATAGTTACACTTAATGATGAGAAAATCTTCCATTGATCGGCGTAGATAATGAAAATATAGTGAAAATATAATATTGGTAGTTTGTCAATTGTAACTCGTATCATTCATGCCATCAAAATATGATGTAATACACCCGGATACCTTTTTTTGTAGATCCGTGTTCACCAGACCCCTGCCAAAATAATGGTGTGTGTTATAATATCAACGGAAAAACACCACTTTGCATGTGCGCTGATGGGTTCTATGGCACTCACTGCGAACGTATACTCAGTAAGTTTGTATCTGTATATACGTGTTTTCATTATTTCCTGCATGGTTATTTGGAGGCACATTGTGTAATTACTATAATGAACTATGTATATATACTAACTATATACCCACTATTCTTGAAAATGTTTATATTTTGTAATGTATTGTCAGTGTGATCAGGATGTAGTTGTATTATATTCATAAACGTGTGTTCTCCCCTGTGTGACAGTTACTGATATACGGTTGGATATGTTATTTCTCCTTTCTAACTTAATTCTTACACATAGGTTGTGATGATGGCGTAGAACCTCTTCCATGTGTGAGTAATCATTGTGACACAACACTGTGCCCAGCGCACCCTAATGCACGATGTGAAGTTAACATATGTCAACATGGAATATACAACGAATGCTTCCCAGAATTCTTTGACGAACAGGACAACATTGTGGACTGTCTTGGTAAGTAATTGAATCATTATTGTTTATACTGGGTTTATGGACAAATAATACAACTGAACGAAATTATAGATTGTCTGGGTCACATTAAACATTATATAATATCTGATCATGCCCAAGTGTTAATAACGACACACATACATAACGACAATGATGTACCCAAAGATTCAACAAATTGCCAGGCATCAGTGTCTCGTCTGGTTATGTTTAAAGATGAATTATTGTAGACAATAATCCCTGTTAGTGTGGCGATCAATGGCATGGATTGACAGGCCCACATATAAAAAACATCGTTTATATACTTAGTATTATTATAACATAATTTAAATATATTACTTAATTGGCAATCGCCTCTATTTTGCAGATATGATGTGTCCATATGGACCACTGGCTTTTGAATGCAAACTGAATCCATGCCTCTTAGCTTCCTGTCCAACTTATCCAACTGCTACATGTGTTCCTAATTACTGCCATGTCTCGGGATGTATCGCGGAATATATTGATGAGTATGGAAACAAAGTGGATTGTACTGGTATGTTCTGCATTATATCAGTATTTTCATCTACTACTTACGTAACTATTACGAATGTTCGTTACTGAATGTAGACAAATTATATGTGGTACATTAAATTTGGCAATACATTGGTAATGCCTTGAAGGTGCTTGTCTTCCTCTGCACGTGCTCGACAACACACGTGTGCACGTTGTTACGCTGATTACTGTGCCTGGTATAAAATTGTGTTTGATAATGTTAATTGTGAAGGTAATTTACAATGGCTACATTTGATTTGTTACATGCTACAGTTTACCTTCATCTAGGCAACAGTTTTAAAAAAACTTGAAATGTAGGGCTACAAAATGGAGCCTACAAGCTAATTTCCCGCATTTTAAAAAACAAATAAAGGTGGTCTGTCTTCTTTTAAAACAAATAGTAATTACAATAATAAAATTATTTAATTAATTACACCAGTATTGGCAATATCAGAAAAAGCTGACTACTCGCTCTTGGTTATACATGCTAATGCATCGGTTGCAATAAAGGGATTACAATCGTTCCCCGCGCATTGATATACATTCAAATTTGTGTGTTAAACTCATATACTCGGGGGGTACTCAACTGAACAAAAACTGTCCCGATGCACAGAAGTGTTGTTCTAATGGTTGTGGTCACACATGTCAAAATCCAATCCTAGTTCCAGGTAATTATCCTTGTTTTAGAACAGTGCACTCATACGTGTGTTCGCACAAATGTTAGTTAATGTGTATATTATATTAAAACGCACCGTGTAATACCATTTCATAGTTGCACTATAGTACTCCTGTGTTTGTTATGTATGTTTTCTCATTCAGACCCACCAAAACCTGGACAGTGCCCCCCTACTGACGGATTATTTGGAACTTGTGTTGAACTTTGCACTTTGGACGAAAACTGTCCTGATGCACAAAAGTGTTGTTCTAATGGTTGCGGTCATACATGTCAAAATCCAATCCTAGTTCCAGGTAACTATCCTTGTTTTAGAACAGTGCACTCATACGTGTGTTCTCAGATACAAATGTGTTAGTTAATGTGTATATTAAAACGCACCGTGTAATACCATTTCATAGTTGCACTATAGTGACATCTGTGTTTGTTATGTATGTTTTCTCATTCAGACCCACCAAAACCTGGACAGTGCCCCCCTACTGACGGATTATTTGGAACTTGTGTTGAACTTTGCACTTTGGACGAAAACTGTCCTGATGCACAAAAGTGTTGTTCTAATGGTTGTGGTCACACATGTCAAAATCCAATTCTAGCTCCCGGTAACTATCCATGTTTTACAGTGCACTCATACGAGTCTTAATGGTTGTGTTCACACATGTCATGTGTTAGTGTGTATTCTTGTATGAGAAACGTGTATGTGAACTATGGAATCATTTTCAACAAATAATCCATTCTGCTTATTTCAAAGTAAACCCTTGTCCTAGCGGTGAACCATTAAAGAACGAGCATGGTGTTGAACTATTATGTGGGCCAAACCAACATCATTGCCCTGTTGGACATCACTGCATAATGTCTACCGATAACCATGCTGTGTGCTGTCCGGGCTGTCCCGACGGTCAACTACCTACACAGTGTACAACAAACCCATGTCAGGTATCACAGTGTGCTTCTCACCCCAATGCTGAATGTCACGCCAACTACTGTGGTGGATGTTTTGCAGAGTTCTATGATGAATATGGAATGAAAGTCAATTGTAATGGTAGGTTTCAGTAGTGAGTTATCTAGTGGATTATATTTTTGTTTGCATTTGATATTCACATATGACGTACTTGAAATACAAACTTCATTGTATAGGTACTTCATTACCGCATATATAATTTTACTTGATAGAGGTAGTCGATCCAAAGCCTGGATTGTGTCCAATAGTTCTTAATGATATACCGTGCAATGGACAGGACGACCAATGTGTTGGTGACAGAGATTGTTACGGCACTCAGAAATGTTGTTCGAACCGTTGCTACAAACGTTGTACTGTACCAGGTATGCGATTTGTCAGCGAAATTGGTATTTTACTAAACCTTGAATATATGTATTGATTTGATCTATTCAACTAACTTGACTTTGACATTTTGAATGTAGTGTGCTTGAGTAACATGGCATCACACGAGTATTTCCGTTGTTTAAATTGTATCTTACTATAATTTATTATGCGACCAATGTTTGATTGATATCATTATTGGCAATTGTGTTAACAATTGGAAATAAGGTAGCATACTAATTCTCTAATTAATAACTATTTAAGATATTATTCAATAAATTTATAAATCATAGGGAAACATAGAAAGGAAAAGTTCCGCTGTGTATCGCCTAATCTCCATTTTTAGCAGCAGTTGCGACATCCACCAACTTTAAGTCAATGATGCACATACTAATTCAACAAAATACTATCAGAATGCATAGATACTGATGTGAAAAATAACATGCATGGAAAAAGAAAACTTAACATAAAATAACACTCTACCTACCTAATTGAACTTTAAATTCATAAACCGTGAAATCAAGTCAAACGCACTGACAGCGCAGTGGACGAACAAATTAGCTTATCATAAACGCAATAGAGAAAAGTACAATGCATGGTCAGATGGTCAGAGACTGAAACATGTATGGACTCCAAGACATAAAGCCAAGAGTGTGTGATAAAGTGTTCTGAATTCTATTACACACACTAGAAATAACTATTTGTCAGAGTTCAAATAATGTCCAAAACAAGATTAAATATATTAAGCATTTCAGAAGTCAGCCTGGCAACTAGTACATATCTTATCTACCAACACGTGTTCCGTTGTATGCAGATCCATAACATAATCTTAAAGTGTTATTCTAATTGTTGTTCAATTATATTCAATGGGAATTCAAAGTAATTATTTAAATATAACTGTCTTCTCATTCACAGACATTGTCTGCAGTGACACTATTGTATGTTATAATGGTGGTCTTTGCTCACACGGAGTTTGTGTTTGCGCAGATGGATTCTTTGGAAGATTATGCGAGGAGTGTGAGTATAGTACTTTTATTAGCATAACATACAATGCGAATCGGGCATATTGTGTAGTTCATACAGGCTCTCAGTGTCGAATCAGTATACATACAATCATCATGATGACTTAGGTTAGAAACACTTCAACATGAACATAATAAATTATAAACCTAATTTATTTTGTGATTAGACAATCCATGTGCAGACGGCAAACCAGCAAAAGACGAAGATGGAACTGTACTTTTTTGTGGTAATATGCCAAACCATGATCAGTGTCCGCCCGGACATCACTGCAAGATGTCTACTGGTGGCCTTGATGTGTGTTGCCCAGGTTGTCCCGACGGCCAGCAGACAGTACAGTGTGCAACAAACCCATGTCGGGTATCACAGTGTGCTTCTAATCCCAATGCTGAATGCCACGCCAACTACTGTGGTGGATGTTTTGCAGAATTCTATGATGAATATGGAATGAAAGTCAATTGTGATGGTAAGTTTATGTCATTGTGTAGGATGAGGGGGCGCTTATGTAATGAAGAAGAGCAGAAAGTATCTAGTTTCTAAAAGTGTTATACACCCAATATAGATTTACTATTGTGATCAAAACTATCACATGATAGATATTTAATGTCTACAGTCCAACTGTCATTTGTACATACAAATTCAAATAGTGAAATATCCTTTCTAATCTCAACGTATGGAATATGTTTGCAATTTAGATGAAAAAAATGTGTGTCCCAGAGGAGAAGCATCGATGAACGAAGATGGAACTAATATGGCGTGCAGTCCGGATACCAATCAGTGTCCAATTGAACATTACTGCCAAACGTTTGCTGATGGCCCCTCTATGTGCTGTCCTGGTTGCCCAGACAACCAGCAATTTGTTCAGTGTACGGCGAAACCATGTGATGTTACACAGTGTGCTTTTGATCCCAATGCTATATGCCGCGATAACTACTGTGGTGGATGTTTTGCAGAGTTCTATGATGCCAATGGAATGAACATCGACTGTGATGGTAGGTTATAATAGTTTTTAAAAATTTTCCTGGGCATTTCGTATTCGTATCTTTTCTCTACAGCCTACTATATAAAAAAAAGTTAATAACTGTTCACTTCTACCATAATAAATAATATAACGTAACATAATGCTCACTTCTATCATAATATATAATATAACGTAACATAATGTTCACTTCTATCACAATATATAATATAACGTAACATAATGTTCACTTCTATCATAATATATAATATAACATAACATAATGTTCACTTCTATCATAATATATAATATAACGTAACATAATGCTCACTTCTATCATAATATATAATATAACGTAACATAATGTTCACTTCTATCATAATATATAATATAACGTAACATAATGTTCACTTCTATCATAATAGATAATATAACGTAACATAATGTTCACTTCTATCATAATATATAATATAACGTAACATAATGTTCACTTCTATCATAATATATAATATAACGTAACATAATGTTCACTTCTATCATACTATATAATATAACGTAACATAATGTTCACTTCTATCATAATAGATAATATAACGTAACATAATGTTCACTTCTATCATAACAGACAATATAACGTAACATAATGCTCACTTCTATCATAACATATAATATAACGTAACATAATGCTCACTTCTATCATAATATATAATATAACGTAACATAATGTTCACTTCTATCATAACAGACAATATAACGTAACATAATGTTCACTTCTATCATAATATATAATATAACGTAACGTAACATAATGCTCACTTCTATCATAACATATAATATAACGTAACATAATGTTCACTTCTATAATAACAGACAATATAACGTAACATAATGTTCACTTCTATCATAATATATAATACAACGTAACATAATGTTCACTTCTATCATAATATATAATATAACGTAACATAATGTTCACTTCCATCATAATATATAATATAACGTAACATAATGTTCACTTCTATCATAACATATAATATAACGTAACATAATGTTCACTTCTATCATAATATATAATATAACGTAACATAATGTTCACTTCTATCATAATATATAATATAACGTAACATAATGTTCACTTCTTTCTATAATAATATATAATATAACGTAACATAATGTTCACTTCTATCATAATAGATAATACAACGTAACATAATGTTCACTTCTATCATAATATATAATATAACGTAACATAATGTTCACTTCCATCATAATATATAATATAACGTAACATAATGTTGACTTCTATCATAATATATAATATAACGTAACATAATGTTGACTTCTATCATAATATATAATATAACGTAACATAATGTTGACTTCTATCATAATATATAATATAACGTAACATAATGTTCACTTCTATCATAATATATAATACAACGCAACATAATGTTCACTTCTATCATAATATATAATACAACGCAACATAATGTTCACTTCTATCATATTAGTAATATAATGTAACATAATGTTCACTTCTATCATAAAAGTAATATAATGTAACATAATGTTCACTACTCTCAACACTACTATTTCAGTTTCAGCAGGTCTGCCAGATATGTTAACGATATTCTGATTATTTTGATGATATTTTACTTTATTGTAAGCTCATAACCAATATCAAAATAATTTCATTATCATTTCTACGAACTCACTCAATGTGAAAAAAATAAGAGGAGCAACACATCAGCAATGTTTGTGCTTCGATTCAATAATATATTCACACTAGATAAGTATGTCAATTTGGTACCCACGTGTGTTCTATTGCAGAGAAACGACCGTGTACGTTTAGGGATGGACATGACTATCCCCATGGTGAATTACTGGAAGGTTCCGAGGAAGACGGCGACTGTAATTCATGGTAATTCTCCCATAATGTTGTATGCTACTATTTATTTATTTATCAACTCACAGTGTCTTTACTGACGGTTATGCTCACTGAATGTCGATACTATCATTGATATTGTTTCTATACTGATCCAATCATTGTTATTTGTTGTTTCAGTACTTGTAGCAATGGTGTATGGTCCTGTACGAACATTTATTGTGGTAAGAAACACATATATTTAAAGGGCGGTGGTCGTTGCGCTACACATGTGCGAAATTTCTGTTGATAAACATTTATTTTCCAACAATCCAGTGCGCTCTTCTAATGGAAAGTATGATGTTTGACCTTGGCGCGATTTGCAGTAAATACGGTCAGTGACTCCTTCAATACCTTCGAATCACCTGACAAATACCTAATTAAAGCTTGGTAACGTCTTAGGCTGTCTTTGTTTATGTAAGACTCTTATAACTCGCGCATGCGCGGCTCGACGACCAGCGCCCTTTAATTTATATGACGATTATTTTTCAGTAAATCTTCTACTAATGAATTGGTTAATTTCAGCGATTCAACTTTATAAATTATATATTAAGTTGACGTAAATGTTAACGTCTGTCAATGAGACTGTATAAGGCCAGACAATTATATATATGGATTTTGTATTTCAGGAGACGCAACATCATGTTATTATTCAGATATGGCATACAAACAAGGTGAATATAGACCAAATGAATGCAACACATGGTAAGATTTCATGTGATAAATTATTTACGTTTCACATCTTTCAACTCATTCGTTTATACCACTGTATTGTAGGCGTTAAAGGGCGGTGGTCGTCGCACAGCGAGTGTGTTAAAACAAACAAAGAAACAATGTATTTTACACGTGTTGTACACGTTGCTATGAGTCCTATATCGATAAAACGCACATACTGGTAAATATTGGTTTAGAGACGCATATCCACATATTGAATACAGTTTCACTGATATTTATTTCAGTTATTGCAATCAAAAAGAATGGGTTTGCTCCAATAGAGAATGTCGTGAGTAATGATTATTAATTATATATAATGTCTGTTCACAAGATAATTACGATTAACTGGGAAACGTGATGATTTATTGAATGGAAATGTTCGATGATAATACCTTCACAAGATGTTCATTGTTGAATACGTTAGAAGATTGTTATGAAAATACATGTATACATAATATTTCATTTCTTATTTTCCTTCACATATATCACAGCAAACGACGAAGAATTGGTGTAAGTATAGTGGTATTCCTCCTTTTTTACAATTACAATTATTGTTCATTTAGAACACATATCCAGTCTACGCAACTACAATCATATAATTCTGATTTGTAATTTTGTTTCTGTTTATAATTGTACATTATATTACAGAGCGGTTTCCGTCACTTTCCACCTGAAAGGAGACTATGGTGTTATTGCGGACGATGTGGATGATTTTGAAGAGTGAGTAATGCCAATCCACCTGTAAAAACTTTCCAATTGCAATGCAAGTCATAATTTCAAAACGAACCTAGACAATAAATGACATTACTATGTAATAAAATAAAAAAAGTATACACATAGTGAATAAAAGATACATATGCATTTATAATGGTTTGTTATTTGCATTACAGGTCAATTTCAAAGAGCATATCACTGAATTTTCAAATTCCCGACACTATGATTGATAATATGAAGGTAGGGATCGTTTACATTCGAATATCTGCAGACTGTTTAATAAACAAGACTCATTTGTATGTAACACTGTTGTTAACAATTACTCTGTATTTTTCAGATTTCTGAGGGGAGCATAAAAGTCGAGTTTAATATCGTGGCTGATCCTGAAATCAATAAAGATACTGAAGCCGTTGTTTATAAAATGGAAGAAAAGGTGTGTGTTAAACTTGTGTAGACACTGTACATTCACATTTGCAATAACTGTTCTTTATAATAATTTTGCACCATATGATTTGAGAATTTCATTTTATGCAAATATCATTGAACATTATGTATGTTTATTTCGTGAATTTGCGTTCAAATAGTTAATATATGATTTGTTTGTTTTAGATATCTTCCTACACATTTGTTTATAATGGAGTCATTTATGAAGTAGATGGGAGCACTGCCGTATTTGAGAAGGTTTACCAGGAACCACAGCCTGTAAAACGTGATACAGTCAACGATGCTCTGATTATAGTGGGAATCGTCATTGCAGTGGTTGCCGTTCTTGTCATTATCATGGTGGTTACGTATTTGGTGAGTTTCAATAATTTCAAAGTTTAAGATGTGTGTTTTATACACACAGCCATCCATACACTTGCATATCAAACATCGTTGCAGCTACGACCTGGCCGAAGATACGATGTATCAGTAGTCATAACACCACAGCAAAATAACATGCATTACCTCAAGGAGGGCCATTGTATTTACTGTTAGTTAAAGGAAGTTAACGGGAACGTTAAGGGTAGGTTATTTGAGTTTCCGTCTTTTGAATAAGTAATACTGTGAACATGGCGAGTTTTAGATGTGGTCTTCCGACTGAACCATCACAGGTTGTGTGTCGTAGATGCATAGTTGTGTTAGGTGGTTTCTTTCACCAGTAAGTTCTGTCAAAAAAGTGTTTTTCTCGTAACGAAAGGACAAGGAAAGAAAATTCTCTGAGTAAATGCTGACAAAGGATGCTGGACGAAAAATGTCTTATACCGGATATAAACACGATACTTAGAACAATGGGCATAGGTAAAAGAGTTGTAACACGAAAATAACATTCCCATAGGACATTGTAAATATAAAAAAAACACATTTAATATTTATTTACTTCTCTATATTCTGTCTAGTACGCCCGTTCCATTACCATCGCGTCTTTCTGTTATTGGCGAAAAAAAGTGTCGATGTAGATATATATAAACTTACACACAACTGATTAAAATATAATTCCATGGATGTTAGTAGGTTGCAGTTATTATATTTAAATATAACCCCACAACTTGTAGTCGTCGTGCTCACTCTAAGATTCTATTTTAATAACCAGATTGCAAGTTCGTGTAATGATAGCAAAAGAAGGTCCAACTACAAGGTAAGGTATAAGTTGGAAAGATAATTTAAAATGTGTTCTATGATGCCCATGTCATCGCGTTAAACATCAAATATTACGTTATTTCGACGTAAGATCATGCGCTGATTTCGTCTGCATATTTTAAATTGTACACACATTTTTATATTTAAAGCAACATAGGTATGCTTGTAGTGGTAAAAGAGTAGGATATGTTATTTCGATATATTGTCAATAATAGCGTATTCCTGTATTCCGCAGCTTTAATGGGCTAACAGGACAAAATAAAGTAGGGCGGGAATACCAACAGTAATGTTACATGAACGCACATTAACTATATTTAAAACATTCTGTTTCAGCACTCGACGCCACGTGACATCGTACACGCTTATGATAATCATGCTTTTCCAAATGGAAGCCCAGTAGGAAGTGACAATCTTAAAGTGTGAGGGCGTAAATCGCGTGAATCACTATATATATGCAAAAAGTAACCAGAAATAAGTTTGTTTACACGAGATCGTCACTGTACATATATCATTTTTTTTATTAACATGTGCCTTCTCTATATAAGCAATTAGTTAATATTTCATTTTTTTCGATTACGTACCATTATTATATGTTTGTAGTAAATTTTGCTATTACGAGATACTACTACTGGGAACACCTATTGTTTATGAATTGCGTGATACGAAATCCGTACGTGAATTTAGAGAGTATGTTATGTTGCTATGGTGATTTATTATGATAAGTATGTTCTTTTAAATGTTGCAAATGTTGTATGTGTTTATATAACTTTCATGTAGGTAATCATTTTATGTATTTTGAATACAGTACTTACAATGTAGCAATTGATATGAATTTTCAGGGTTTGTCGAAATTTATATTCAAGTACTATGCCCATTTAACAGACTAATCCGGTGTGTATCGATAAATACCAATACATATTGATAGTAATGACTGACGTTGGTTTGATACAAGGGGTGCAGATATTCAGTACGATTGGGGATGTTATTTACATTTTACTACAAATAATGAAATTAAAATTAATTTTAAAACAAATTTTCCATTTACAAGTTTTTCTTGAGTTGTTTTTTTTTGCAATAATATGAGGAATGGAGTAAAGTATGCTCATCACTTCATGGTTAACACTGAATATGAACACAACATTAGTCATCAGAATACTGTTGACTTGAAAAATGTTGCTATTTATGTTGGTAGTCAATAGAGTTGTCATGTTCAATTTTACGGCGCCGAAAAAATACTCGCCGCGTGTTTCATTTTACGACTCATACCATAACTTGATAAATACACTACATAACTTGATGAATACACTACATAACTTGATGAATACACTACATAACTTGTCAATTGTGCCACATGATATGGTAAATGCACTACATAACATACTGAATGCACCACATAATATGATATAAAATGTACTACATGAAATGATAAATGTACTACACAAAGTATGTATTAATGTTTTCCTCGGGTCGAGTGGGATGACGTTGGGACAACAGGAGACATTCACAATAATAAAGACCGACCCTTAGTGGGGATGTGGACACTCTAAATTTTATATGCCAAGAACACACCCCATAACATGGTAAAAGCATAATATGATATGATAAATTACACGATAAATGCATAACATATCAAGACGATTGCATCATACAATATGAAAGATGCACAACATGATATGATGAATGCTCCGCGTATATAGGAAATAATAATATGAGGTTATTACGAGGATACCTCAAAGTATACACGAAGATAGTACAGCGGGAGTATGGACCGACGCGCAGTGGAGGTCGATGCAACGGTTTACTGTCTGAGTACAGATGTAAAATAATAGATAATATGATGAGTGCGCATGTTATAGCGGAATTTACATGAGATCGACCCTTTTTAAATGTTAAGCTACATCAAGCGAGTCTAGTATCTGCATGGCAGACCAATTGGACAAAACAGTTAGCGAAACTAATTTTTATTTGATTTCGCGAAAACATGAAAATGGCATATGTCAATTTAAAAAGTAATTTTCGTAACTGCGATTTCGATAAGGTTTTGTTGACAGTGATGATAAATAGTCTAAATTGTTCACGGAATGTTTGAAGTTTCTTACACAATGTCTGTAAAGAATTGGCTGTTGTAGTCGACAGAAGTTAGCAATAGTTGTTCGGAACAACGTGCACAGTTGTGCGAAGTAACGGGAAGATGTCAAAGTTGCTCGGAAATTAGACCAATAGTGTTGTCATAACCAATCACGCATTTAAACGCTCGATGTTTCTTATGTCAGCGGACAATCATTCCAGTTGGCAACAATTTGCAGAGAATAGCGTGCAAAGTGATGGGGAAATCAGTCAAGTCGCCATAAAAACATTACCGTTGTTGTTGTCATATACGTAGTTGAAACAATGAAAAAAGTACGAAAAGACTCGCAAGAGCCAATAATACTATCGGACTGTCATAATTGTTGGCCGCAATCTGTTGAATACAGCGTGACAAGTTTTGCAAAGTGACTGAAAGGTTGGCGAAGAAATTTGAGCGTTGGACCAATGTTGTTGTCATAACCGATCACGCATTTGAAAATTTGAAAAATGACGGGGTAGACAAGACAATAGTACTGGAAATGAAATACACATACAAGAAACAAAGCACAGAAAATACAATAAATAGAGTCACTACAATAGGAGATTGCAATATAACAATCATTTATATTAAAGAAAGTTTTCAAATTACCTCTAATTAACCTCAAAGAATTAACCTCAAAGAACATGTGTTTGATGCCGTAGTCTCCCATGCAATTACTAGCCACGCCCGATTGATCTTAACTTTTGTTACACACGACCACACGACCCCTGGGATCATTTGAAATTTATTCGAATTGGCGGCCATTTATTGTTTGGAAGTGTTTCGAAATTGCATTCGTTTTCACTCGTGTCTTTCGTAAATTGACCTATGACCTATCCATGCTTTGAAAGTCAGTACGATAATAAACGGACATTTATGACATATTTATTCACTTTTTCTAAAGGCTCGATAATATAACAACATAGATCACATTTCCATGTAAATTTGCTAACTTTGCAACCACTTTTCACTACTTTGTAAGCAGTTTGTTTATCATGTTACGCTTTCAAATGGGTATGATCTGCTAATATAAGTGGCTTTTCTAACACATTTGCTCATTTTCTTTATATTTTTAACTGCGGGGTCGATGTTACAATGACTTAGGTAAAATATAATAGAAAACCCACTTACTTTTCTAATGGTTCTCCTGTCTTTTTAGGCTCTTTTAGAACATGTCACGGTCTGCCCATAAGACACTATGCCATTATACGATACTTTCACTTGCATTTTATTCTCTTTTCCTACTTTATAATTTCACGGTTAAATATGACAACAACTTCGTTCAAACATACACGCAAATCTACCAACTTTGCACTCACTATTCACAAATTTGCACTCCGTTTTAATAGCTTACATTCATTATAGCCGACGGCAAAAGTTAGTTGTGCGTTGAAAATACGTGCAAATTTTAAAACATTCTATAAACTTAAAATATCAAAATAATCAGCACGACCTTCTACTATAAAGGTGTTACATTGCAATTATAAAAATACGAAAAATGTTTTATGTCTTTTCTATGTTTTTACTGGGTCCAAAAAAAAAGTATTTCACCCTGTGGTTTGCTCATGTAGTCTCCCATGCAATTACTCGTCACGACCGATTGATCTTAAAGCGCGTTAGTCGTCGGGCTGCGCATGTGTGACATTTGTGTTGATAAACATTGATTTTCCAACAATCCAATGCGTTCTTCAAATGGAAATCAGAAGTATGAGGTTTGACCTGGGCGCGATTTGCACTGATTACCGACGGTGACTCCTTCGATACCTTCCAGTCACATGAAAATTGCCTAATTAAAGCTTGGAAACGTATCAGTTCGTACTCGTTGATCTGCGCAACAGTCAAAGTCGCCATCTTTGTTCAGACGAGACCCCTATATCTATATTCAACAGATTTTAATGAAACTTGATATATAGAAGCTCTGGGATAATGCGCACACTCAAACTTTCCCAGGTTAAAATTCGTGCTTATTAATGATCCAATTGGCATATTAATTAGCCAATTTTACCTTTTTTTCTCAAGAACCATTTAACAGATTTTAATGAAACTTGATATATAGAAGCTCTGGAATAATGCGCACACTCAAATATTTTTTGGTTAAAATTCGTGCATATTAATGATCAAATTGGCATATTAATCAGCCAATTTTTCCTTTTTTCTCAAGAACCATTTAACATATTTTAATGAAACTTGATACATAGATGCTCTGGGATCATGCTCAGACCGGATTAGTTTTTGATTGAAATTCAAGCGTATTAATGTCCTACATTGCATATTAATTAGCTAATATTTAGCTTTTCTACCAATATCTCAACCACTCATCAGATTTCAATAAAACTTGGTATATAAAGCCATGTAATTTCATGGGCGTTCAATGGATTCAATGTGATGATGAAATTGTAGTCAGGAAAGAAGGAATACATAAAAAGTATTATTCAATGCAAGATGGCACAAGTTGTATATGGGATGGAGCTGACTTTAATTTTTTATGTAAAAGAATCTAAAAGACTTTCCAGAATATCATTTTCCACACAACAGGATAGTTACCCTGCAGATACCCTGTCTCTCTGTATGTGCGTAAGTATGTATGTCTGTTCCAGAATTATCTCAAGAACCGCTGGTCAGATTTCAATGAAACTTGGTATATTGGTGCACATACATGCATTTCGCAGACCTGATTAGTATTGAATAAAAATTGCATATTAATTACCTTATTTGCATAACAATTAGTCAGTTTTCTGTTTTCCATCAATACTTATAATATTATATCAATGAATCTCAGCACATCAATACTGTGCAACACCCTAATTTAACTACTTTAAATACATCCATAATAACTACCTAATTTGCCTAATTATTTACTTTTCGGCTTTCAGAATTAATCATCACATCATGATGAAAATTGATACATATGTGCTTGGGATAATACACAGACCTAATTAGTTTTGGGTTGAAATATATGCATAATAATTGCTCACTTTGTATAATCATTACAGATTTTTTTTCTCAAAACCCAATTATTGCATTTCAACAACACTTAGTGTTTATGTGCTTGGGAACATGGTAAAGACCTGATTAGTTGTGGATTGAAATTCAAGCATACTAATTGCCTAATTTGCATAATATGCATAACCATCACATTTCATTGAAATTTGGTTCGTAGATTTTTTGGGGCATAATCTGCTGACCTAATTAGTTTTATATTGAAAAAACATGCATATAGATTATCTAATTATTATTATTATTAGCCAATTTCTGATAATTGTAAAATCAGATTTGAATTGAACTTGTTGTAGATGTGCTCTTGAATAAATTATATCAACAATACTTTTTGTGTCTCAAATATCTGACAAATACTAGTTGCCAAGCTTCTTGTTTGAAAGGCTAATATTAAATTTTGAATCAATTTAAATAAGCTGCCAATGTTGTTAAAAAGAATTGTCAGTTGGTTATTGAGAAACAGATTGTGAACAGAGGAACAAAGCGAAAGACTGACTGTGAGATTGGTAAATTTATCAAAAAAATTAGATTGGAGGAAGAGATACATGAGTTAATTAGACAAATGAATGATTTAAAAATATAAAATAATTTTATGGTATATGAGTATATGGAAATAGATACAGTTAGGTATAGGAAAATAATGGTTTACATATAGTAAGACATATAAATATAGTGGTACAGATAGTTAGATATATGAGTATATGAAATAGATATAGTTAGATATAAGAATATAGTAGTATAGATATATAAATATAGTGGTTTAGATATAGTTAGGTATATGAGTATATGAAATAGATATAGTTAGGTATAAGAATATAGTGTAATAGTTATAGGTAGGTATGTGAATACAGTGGAATAGATTTAGTTAGATATATTAGTATGTGATAGAGATATAGCTATAGGTAGACATAAACATAGTGTGATATATACAAGTAGACATGAATACAGTGGCATAGATAAATTGTGGCAAAGGTTACAGGTCAATATTCCGAGGCTTCATTTCTCCGAAGGTTTATTTGTCCGAGGTTCAGTAATCGGAGGGTTTATTTATCCAAGGTTCATTAATCCGAGGGTTTATTTGTCCAAGGTTCATTAATTCGAGGATTTATTTGTCCAAGGTTCATTAATCCGAGGGTTTATTTGTTCGAGGTTCATTAGTCCGAGGGTTCAATAATCTAAGTATTTATTGTTAATTCATTTTCTCAAATAGCGTATTACATATATGTTGGTATATTGTAAACGACAATAACGATAGACAAGTAAATAGATAGATTGTAAATGTAAAACAGAATATGAAGAAATAATGTAGAAAAAGTATGCAGTGAAAATACAAGTAAGATGGACCATATTATTCTTTCATTCATTTGAATTCCCTTCTTTGAACGTTTACAAAGAAACAGTTAAAAAGGATTGAATCGTTGCAAAAGTTCCGTCTATTACACAAGTAAACGTGCCACCCGGTACATATGTAAATGATTCACTACAGGAGACGTGACACTGATTTTTTTTTACCATATTATCAAAAAATTATCAATATTAAAGAGTTGTCCAATATCGGACAATTATCATTTTGCCTTGACTTCTAGAACTATTAAATTATTCTAACTTCTGATGAAAATTATTTAGATTCTATGGTTTCTATTGGAGAATTACTGGTACAAGAAAAGAGGAACTTCAAAATGAACAATCTCTAATATCGATCTAAATACGGTTTTTGGACAAAATAATTGAAATCCTTCGATATTACAGGAGAATTACTGTCTCAAGAAACGAGGGACATAATAGTAGGTGTACTCCAATATCGATCTAGCTACATTTTGTTCTTAAATAACGATGTAATCGCGTTTATACATTTGACATAATAGAAAATGAAAAATTGCAATGTCCCACCTTCCACACATTGTAATATGACAAATTGTCTACAGCTACACCGTTCAATCAATGCATAAATGCATCTTATACTTGTACTAGACGAGAAAGTAACACAATGTTTATCTGTGTTGCAGTCGTTATATAAATGTTTATTTACTCATATACTATACAAGCTTTAAAACTTTAGCATTTTCGAACTATTTGAAGATTAATGACCAATATCTCTGTATTGTTCTAAGAATTTAATACCAAGCATTTGCAGCTAGATACAAAATTAAGTACCTATAGTTTTAGTACTGTTGTGAGCTTTACGCATGAACGCATGAAATATAAACACATAAAAACAAGCTAACTTATAATTTAGTCTGACGGTTTTCTTGGAATAAAAAAATATACAGAGGTTGCAAGATGCGTTGAAAATGGTAGAATGTATGGGATTATTTTGTCAGACTAATGAAACATCGTATTTATGAACCCTTGGAAGAGCTGTTCCTGAGACAACAGGTGAATGACCCATATTACTTAAGCATGTTTAAATTTCACAAACCTCAGTGCAGTAAATAACAAAGCCATGAAAACCCTCAGAGCAGTCAAAGGCAGAGTTGAGGTTCTTTGGTTACTTAGCCATCATGTACACGATCGACCGCAATACACTTCTAATAAACAGGAACAGTTTTAGTAAGATATTTTCTTACACCCGTTTCAATGTCCAAACATTTTGTATTGTAGGTATTCACATTACTTAGAAGATTTATGACTTTGTTTTCATTCATATCCACAAAGCAGGATTAAATACAATTTATAATATCTTGCTACCTGAACAACAGCTAAGAATGTAGTTGAGAAAATAAGAGTCAAAAACGAATCTCTGACTGACGCACACACACACACACTCAGCAACCAGGAAACTTGTTTACATAAGATCATTATCAGTTAACCACCAATTTAGGAATCAGTATAACAAAGTGTCTTTATTTCTGTGAAAGCTGTTCTGTACATGATTAGACACAGTAGCCCTGAGATTTATCTAGTCCACTAAATCACATATCTACATCCATAAATGTATTCTACAATCATTGTACCAATCAATGTAAAAACGAAGTCAACTATTTTCCAACCACAGAGGGCTATATAACGTTCTTTTGATAAAAAAAACAAAAACATTGTGATACTATTAGTTGTACCGGTAAATGTAAATCCTTACGGGGAAAATAATTTTATTAAATTTCAAAGATACAAATTTATTGCTTTACAAAATATACATTTTCTTAAAAAATAGTACAATTACAAAATAAACTTATCTTTTGTGAAAAGATTGTTGTTGTCAGTTTGAGTTAGTGAATCTGGAAGTCACAGTTATCAGTAGGTCAAAGTTCAAATTCTACCTGGGGTTGAACCAGTTGACCTTACTCTAGGAGGGAGGAGCTTAACAGATTTATAAGAATGCGAAGGCCAAGACTTGAACACAACTGAGTGAACCCAGGGAAAGATCAACTAAAGACTGTACTTGTACATCAGTGAATCAAAATACAGGTCAGGCAGCATTTCTAGTCCTCAGGCAAAAATTTTGATAAAAAAATGTGATAAGAAGAGCAGTAATGCATTCTAAATACTATGAAGGAGTAAAAAGTTAGAGGTCAGTCATGAAAAGAAATCATTATTTTTTCTTTTCCCCATATGTAAACTTTATAAATTAAAATCTGTTAATGAGTTTTTAATTAATTATGATTTTATCTATACTACCTAAGAACAGTAGAGGATGTACAAGCAAATAAATAGATAAATTCAAAACTAATTATACTATTATTATTAGTTATTATATTTATATTACAAAAGGTTTACCATTTAGGATATAAAATACAATTAATAAAATGACTTTATTTAAAATTTTGATAATTACAAGATTCTTCATATATGTCTGTACAAATCCAGTAAAATTGAAATAAAATGTACATAAAAAAATTGTAAAAGAAACAAATTACTGCTAGTTCAAGTATGCTACAGTGAATCCATATATAACCCGGTTTATATAATTTTTCTATGAAAAAAAAAAAAATTGTCACTGATTTTCTCAATTTGTATATGCATCTGCTCTAATAAATTATGTCTAATAACATCTAATTCCAAATCTAAGTTTTAATGAGATTTTGTATGTTCAAAAAATAAATGTATTATTTGTGAGATGTTGAATCATATTGTAATACAATATTGTTGGTGTCTCATCCAGACGGAAACTCTCATTACTCAGTTTACAAGAGGGGATCTTTTCAACCATACTTTTATCAAATTGATCTTCGCTTGTTCCACCACTTGTATCCATTCTTGTTCAATTTCTATCATTTGCATCGAAATCTTCATTGTTTATTACTGCCACAAAAATGCAATATTTCATTGTGTTGAAAAGATGCGTTAACATTGCAGGTCATGTTGAAAGTTCTCCCCAAAACTATTTTGTACTCTTGTTTGGTCAGGTACATTTGTAGATACATTGCAATTCCCATGTTTCCAGTTTGCAGATAAGACGACAAATATGTTCAACCTGGATTTCCAGGTTGGAAGCATTAACAGTATATACCAGTTGGTAGTTGCTAACACTGTGTAATTTACAATTAAAAAAATACACAGAATTTCAATGTAAAAATTTTGCCTACACCAGAAAAGTTGGAGAATTGTCAAAAATTGGCACTAATCACACATCCTTGATGAGACACTGTGTTGTTCTACTGAATCCATCGCTATAGCAACATGTATACAAAGATTAGGATGTGTGTAGTTGCTTTGCACTATTGTTGTGTTATATATGGTTGCATGGCTTAAATTTGCAGTCAATTGCTTCGATGCCCAAACGTCTGGGTGCACTGTATTATTTCTATATGCTATGGCGTTTTGATCAAACTTGTTTAAGAAAATGGATGCCCACGTAACCCAGATATTAAAGGTATGTAATAATTGGAAATTTATGTTTAATAATTTGAGACATAAGGGACACTGTTTGTTGTCACTGCTGACAACTTGATGAAAAAGTGCCTATTAAAAAAAACACTTTTCAGGTGAATTGTCTTGTGTGATTGTTGGCTACTTACTTAGCCATGATTGAATGTACATTTGTGCTGAGATGTTCTAAGTGCATGCTTTTCAAGTTCATTTGATGCAAGTAGATTTAGTACTGTCACTAAAATCCATCCAAGTCTAATTCTCTTCTACTGCTGTGTTTCTTGAAATCGCCATTGCTGTATTTTTTAGATAATCTATCCATCAAAGAAAATCCCACATTGGATGCTAACATGTTTGTAATTCCATCATATCCAGCTTTCACAGCAAGGTCATACGGTGTTATACCTTTATTATTTTGTACTTGGGAATTAGCTCCATTAGATATCAGTGTTTCTATCATTTTCTTGGCACCTGGTCCTTTTAAAACCGCCTCATGCAGTGCTGTGTTTCCCCTCCTGTCAAATTAGGTGAGAAATTTGCATTTAATCTTAGAATGAAATCCAGATCTCTTCTAACACTATAATATAATTCTGTACAATATACCATATGTATGCAACTGTTATAGTATGTGATGATAAACCATTTTGAAATCATATAAAATAAATCACATAATTGTGTGACAAATGTACATTTCAAGACAAATGCATTATGTAATTATGTAAAAGAAATGGTTAGTGTTTGTCTCAACTTTTTTTTTTTCGATGTCTTTACAATGTGTTATGTTTTTGTTTTCTAGAATATGCCAATATATGCATTCATTCCTATTTCCACAATCAAAGTACGTAAATTTGCACAAATTAGATTTTCATTGCATTCATGGATACCATCCTTGCATACCATCTTATAGAATCTTTGTTCTGAACACACATCATTATACTCAGTTAATAACATTTTGCTATGCATATCAGTCTTCCAAAATTTCATAAACAGTTTCTGAATAAAAGTGATATTGTATGGAATTACAGTGCAAACAATCGGTAATATTTGTAACTAATAATTTTCTGATTTTTATTGTTAATAAATCATTCCCTGTGCCATTAGTTTTAATCTGTAATGGCCATCGCCAAAATATGATACAACATATACGATATATACCAACATAGAGCATTAAATCACTTGCATGTGAAAAAAAGTGAAAAGATTGCCGGCCGTGGGGTTGCATCCAGGTCTACATATGGTATCATTTATTGAAATCTAGTTTTGCAATCCAACCTCAGGGATTATGGTACATAATGGCAACTTGATCAATTTCAATGATGCCGACTACTCAACCAATAGTTGTCACATTGCATTCCATGTGGCATTAGCCTTGTCTATGCAATTGTGTCTAAAACAATATTTTCGTTAGATTTGGTCATCTCTATTTGGTTATATTTCAACAAAATAATGTTCAAACTCACAGTTGAAATAGGTCTCAAAAATGATAATCATTTCTGCATATCAAATATCTACATTACATTACAAATACATATTACCGGTACTATAAAAAAGATGTAACACACTGCAGTTATGTTGTAACAATATAGGATTATAGTAGAACTATACTTACGCTCCAAATCTTTTATTGATTTTAGCACCGGCTTCCACCAATACTGGTACACAGTTGATGAGACCATTGATTACAGCTATAGCAAGTACAGGTACACCATCTACATTCTCAACATTAGGATTGGCACCCTGTAAAATAACACAATCAGGTGAACAAAGGTTAAGCCATGTGCATGGTATTCAGCAGCAATATGTGTGCTTGCACATGATTTACCATACAAAGTCATATTTAAATATTCTGTCAATAAAATAGTTAAATTCTTATGTAAAGATAACTATCAGTGATTACGGCTGTACCATATAATATTAATCTGTGGTAGCCCTAAACTAAGTATTACCTCATCCAACAATTGTTGTACTTCCTCTGATCTTCCCTTCCCTTTCGATCCAATCTCTTTTAGAAGGAGTCTGTCTTCAGGCTAGTAAAGAAATACAACGCAAGATTCAATTTATGATATCAGTAATTATTAACATTTGAATTGTAAATCAGAATATTATTGAAATGCCCTCTAGTGGCAAAATGTATTTTTTCTTTCTATCTGGTAGGAGACTTCATCTGAATGACCTGTGGCAATATTAGAATTGAATCAATATGTTGTATCTAGGTAATTACTCACATGCATTTTCTCCTGATAAGACCTTTCCCTGGATCGTTCTCTTTCTTCCGATGGATGCCTCTTTCGTGGTCTGGGAATATTTCTTTTCTTTGCTCTCCCACCTATTTGTTTCCTTGGTTTCTCGTACGTTTCATACGAGTCTGAGGAAACATAAATTGAGGAGATTAGCCTGAACTACTGTAATCTATATATGTATAAATACCTGTGATAATCTATAAATATACTACTGTAATCTATAAATATGACATTGTAATCTAAATAGTAGAAAAATACACCATGATAATCTATAAATATACTACTGTAATCTATAAATATGACATTGTAATCTAAAGTGTAGAAATACACCATGATAATCTATAAATATACTACTGTAATCTATAAATATGACATTGTAATCTAAATAGTAGAAAAATACACCATGCTAATCTATAAATATACTACTGTAACCTATAAATATGACATTGTAATCTAAATAGTAAAAAAATACACCATGCTAATCTATAAATATACTACTGTAATCTATAAATGACATTGTAATCTAAATAGTAAAAAAATACACCATGCTAATCTATAAATATACTACTGTAATCTATAAATATGACATTGCAATCTAAAGTGTAAAAATACACCATGCTAATCTATAAATATACTACTGTAATCTATAAATATGACATTGTAATCTAAAGTGTAGAAATACACCATGATAATCTATAAATATACTACTGTAATCTATAAATATGACATTGTAATCTAAAGTGTAGAAATACACCATGATAATCTATAAATATACTACTGTAACCTACAAATATATTACTGTAATCAACATAAACAAATTATTTTCATCACATATAAGATACACTACTTACCTATACTATATACACTACCACAGTCATCACTGTAATATCCTCTTTCTCTTGTAGCAAAGTATTTTGGACCTGGAGTGATAAGTCAACGTCACTATCATATTTACATTGCGGTTTGTGTAACGATGGACGAATTTACAGTTTCAGTGTGTGATATTTTTATCAGAGTACATCATATACATTGTATATGCTCTCTTGTTTGTATTCAGTCATGCAATAATTAGTCACCACATTAGTATTTTAACATGGGTCACCACATGGTATATTACCACAAGTCACCACATGGTATATTACCATAAGTCACCACATTAGTATTTTAACATGGGTCACCACATGGTATATTACCACAAGTCACCACATGGTATATTACCATAAGTCACCACATGGTATATTACCATAAGTCACAACATTAGTATTTTAACATGGGTCACCATGCGGTATATTAACACAAGTGACCACATGGTATATTACCACAAGTCTCCACATGGTATATTACTACAAGTCTCCACATGGTATATTACCACAAGTCTCCACATGGTATATTACCACAAGTCTCCACATGGTATATTACCACAAGTCTCCACATGGTATATTACCACAAGTGACCACATGGTACATTACTACAAGTCACCACATGGTATATTACTACAAGTCACCACATTAGTATTTTAACATGGGTCACCACATGGTATATTACTACCAGTCACCACATGGTATATTACTACAAGTCACCACATTAGTATTTTAACATGGGTCACCACATGGTATATTACTAGAAAACACCACATGGTATATTACTACAAGTCACCACATGGTACATTACTACCAGTCACCACATGGTATATTACTACAAGTCACCACATTAGTATTTTAACATGGGTCACCACATGGTATATTACCACAAGTGACCACATGGTTTATTACTACAAGTCACCACATGGTATATTACCACAAGTGACCACATAGTATATTACTAAAAGTCTCCACATGGTATATTACTACAAGTCTCCACATGGTATATTACTACAAGTCACCACATGGTATATTACCACAAGTGACCACATGGTATATTACCACAAGTGACCACATGGTACATTACTACAAGTCACCACATGGTACATTACTACAAGTCTCCACATGGTATATTACTACAAGTCACCACATGGTATATTACCACAAGTGACCACATGGTATATTACCACAAGTGACCACATGGTACATTACTACAAGTCAACACATGGTATATTACCACAAGTGACCACACGGTACATTACTACAAGTCTCCACATGGTATATTACCACAAGTCTCCACATGGTATATTACCACAAGTCACCACATGGTATATTACCATAAGTCACAACATTAGTATTTTAACATGGGTCACCATGCGGTATATTAACACAAGTGACCACATGGTATATTACCACAAGTCTCCACATGGTATATTACTACAAGTCTCCACATGGTATATTACCACAAGTCTCCACATGGTATATTACCACAAGTCTCCACATGGTATATTACCACAAGTCTCCACATGGTATATTACCACAAGTGACCACATGGTACATTACTACAAGTCACCACATGGTATATTACTACAAGTCACCACATTAGTATTTTAACATGGGTCACCACATAGTATATTACTACAAGTCACCACATGGTATATTACTACAAGTCTCCACATGGTATATTACTACAAGTCACCACATGGTATATTACCACAAGTGACCACATGGTATATTACCACAAGTGACCACATGGTACATTACTACAAGTCACCACATGGTATATTACCACAAGTGACCACATGGTACATTACTACAAGTCTCCACATGGTATATTACTACAAGTAACCACATGGTATATTACTACAAGTCACCACATGGTATATTACTACAAGTCACCACATTAGTATTTTAACATGGGTCACCACATGGTATATTACCACAAGTGACCACATGGTACATTACTACAAGTCACCACATTATTATTTTAACATGGGTCACCACATGGTATATTACTACAAGTCATCACATGGTATATTACCACAAGTGACCACATGGTATATTACTACAAGTCACCACATGGTATATTACCACAAGTCACCACATGGTATATTTCTACAAGTCACCACATGGTACATTACTACAAGTCTCCACATGGTATATTACTACAAGTCACCACATGGTATATTACCACAAGTGACCACATGGTATATTACCACAAGTGACCACATGGTACATTACTACAAGTCACCACATGGTATATTACCACAAGTGACCACATGGTACATTACTACAAGTCTCCACATGGTATATTACTACAAGTCATCACATGGTATATTACTACAAGTCACCACATTAGTATTTTAACATGGGTCACCACATGGTATATTACCACAAGTCACCACATGGTATATTACCACAAGTCACCACATGGTATATTACTACAAGTCACCACATGGTATATTACTACAAGTCACCACATGGTATATTACTACAAATCACCACATGGTATATTACCACAAGTCACCACATGGTATATTACTACAAGTCACCACATGGTATATCACAAGTCACCACATGGTATATTACTACAAGTCACCACATGGTATATTACTACAAGTCACCACATTAGTATTTTAACATGGGTCGCCACATGGTATATTACCACAAGTCACCACATGGTATATTACTACAAGTCACCACATTATTATTTTAACATGGGTCACCACATGGTATATTACTACAAGTCACCACATGGTATATTACTACAAGTCACCACATTATTATTTTAACATGGGTCACCATGTGGTATATTAACACAAGTGACCACGTTGCATGTATATATTAACATAGCCACATAGTATATTATCATCACATACTATTATAACTGTACTGTCAAAATATATTTTTT